GTTTAAATCTCATTGTGTATTTCTGAAAAAATTAGCAAGTGGGCATGTGCTCTGACTATTTAGAGCTAAGAATAGCTATACTGTGGTAAAGAAATTGGAGCAGTGTTTTCACATGGCAAATATTTCCCTGAGAATGATTGAAGTGATTTGAGAACTTGGGACTACCACAGTAATTGCCCAAAGATGACAGTGGTGGTGTTCTGCTCCATAGCAAGAAAAAGAAAAGGACTATATAATTATCCCGCAAGCTAAAATAACTACCTATGTGACAAATGCTGACAATGGCCAGGGAAAATGAAAAAAATAAAAAGAATGAAAAAAAATATTCAACCAATGAAAATAAAAATAAAATAAAATAACAAAAAATATATATAAATGTCCAAGTCCCCAAAAGAAAGTTCTTTTATGTGTTCCGTGAGGCAAAACGATCCTAAGACTCCTTGATATCCTCAAAGGAAAAGAAAAAAATCATAGTGTAATACCCTAATATAAGTAAAAAAAAACACTTCACTCTGTGCCAACTCAAATCACATCAAAAAAACAGTGAGAAATCAATAAAGTAAAAATAAACGTGAGAAATCGTGATCACTCCAATCACAAGTGAAAGGTGATACTAGATACCAGTACCCTTATTACTCCAGCCAAAAATTGATGCTAAATACCATTACCCTCTTAAAACATATTCAGGCATATATTGTAACACAGGAAAGGTATTTCTCCATCTTCCTTATCTCGGGGTGTTCCTCATATAGATAAAGGAAGGCTCTTTCAGGCAGATTCCATAAAAAGATACAAATTTTAATCCACACTTACATGTAAAAAAACGATATCCAGCTCTCAGTACTGAACATTGCAATCTCAGGTTGAAAACCAATAGTTTCCAACCGACAAAATGGCCGCGGCGACACTTCCGGTTAGCGTGCGTGCGTAATGACGTCACTCACGCACGCACGCTAACCGGAAGTGTCGCCGCGGCCATTTTGTCGGTTGGAAACTATTGGTTTTCAACCTGAGATTGCAATGTTCAGTACTGAGAGCTGGATATCGTTTTTTTACATGTAAGTGTGGATTAAAATTTGTATCTTTTTATGGAATCTGCCTGAAAGAGCCTTTCTTTATCTATATGAGGAACACCCCGAGATAAGGAAGATGGAGAAATACCTTTCCTGTGTTACAGTATATGCCTGAATATGTTTTAAGAGGGTAATGATATTTAGCATCAATTTTTGGCTGGAGTAATAAGGGTACTGGTATCTAGTATCACCTTTCACTTGTGATTGGAGTGATCACGATTTCTCACGTTTATTTTTACTTTATTGATTTCTCACTGTTTTTTTGATGTGATTTGAGTTGGCACATAGTGAAGTGTTTTTTACTTATATTAGGGTATTACACTATGATTTTTTTCTTTTCCTTTGAGGATATCAAGGAGTCTTAGGATCGTTTTGCCTCACGGAACACATAAAAGAACTTTCTTTTGGGGACTTGGACATTTATATATATTTTTTGTTATTTTATTTTTATTTTCATTGGTTGAATATATTTTTTCATTCTTTTTATTTTTTTCATTTTTCATTGGTTGAATATTTCTGATTATATATTGTTTGGGTGATTCATTATTTAATTATCACTATATCAGATTAGGTGGATGGATTAGATTATGTGAAATTTTGAGATAGATTGGGTACATTTAGAAGTTCATCACAAAAAATTAACAAAATTGATTATTCACTTCCTAGGGAGGAAGTAGTGTTTTTGTGTGGTTATTTAGGAGCTTTTTGATTGAATGGCCAGGGAAGTTTGTTATTGCCCATACTGGAAATCTTTATATGGTCAGCCTTACTTTCAGAAGCATATTTTTCAATATAGGCAACTGTCACAGATATAAACAATCCTATGGGGATTATTTTACTAAAACTGGAGAGTGCAAAATCTGGTACAGCTGTGCATAGATACCAATCGGCTTCTGGTTTTTTTGTTCTTTTTGTCAAAGTTTAATTGAATAAGCTGAGTCAGACGCTGATTGACTACCACACACAGCTGCACCAGATTTTGCACTCTCCAATTTTAGTAAATCAACTCCTATATGTTTAGGGATTTTGTTAAATTCTTAGTAGACGTGCTCTACTTTCTTTAGGAAAAGTTTAATCTGTTTTGTTCACAACTGTTGTAAACTTCATTTACCAATATACTGTATGTAAAAGAGAGCGTATGGAAAGATTTTACAGGGAAATATTTAGCCTGAAGGATCACAAGATGTTGGTGGGAAAGTAATGCTTCCAAAAATATTTTGTGCAATAAAAGTGGCATTAAGTAGTTCTTAAGATGCATACCATCTCTGTTAATGGCAAATCTGCTTGATGTTTCAGCAGGTGGAAGGCACATGTACACATACTTTCATACAAACTGGTTGTGTGCAATAGCTAGCAAGGACATTCTACACCTGATTAAACAAGTAACACTTTGTTGTTTCCTTCCTTATTTTAAACCTGAAGTTTAGTTTTTTTTTGAGGGGGATACAGTACCATACACATTAGTTATGTGTAATTGAGTTTATTCCCCTAAACCAGTGGGCTACTTATTCTGCTAAAAATCCTCCCTGCCATGTCTCCTCATAGCCACCAGATACTGCCCTGAGGGACTGTCTTCTTGTACTGTGAGAGTCAATTGCTGCTGCTGCAACCGAGAAAAGTTGTGCCACTCGCCCGATCACTTCTGACCTCTCTGCAATTCACAGAACTTATATTACTACTTTTGGTGAATGGGCTGTGGAATCCTGCCATTCAACTTCTCCACTGCCCATTCACAGAATGCAATGACAGTAATCAGGCTCCAGTCACTAAGGAGTTTTTAGGCTTCTCAAAAAACAAGGTCTAGACAGCAGCTCCTATCTACAGTAGCTCCTTGGTGACCCTCTGATAGCAATTCTTTACACAGTCCTCCTCCAAGGGAGAAGCCCCAGGGGAGAAAGAGTTCTGGAAAGGTGCCTCCATGCCTTTCTCATCCCTCAGATTATACTTCAGATCGAAGGGATTGGCTGGGTCTGATAAACTTTAGTATCCCAAACTAATTACAGACTCCCACCCAATAACAGACAAAAGCAATCTATCCCCTGAGCTTAGGGAAAACCAACAAAATCCATAAAAGTTAAATATTAGCTCAGGCTTTGTTACAGTAACAAATTCTAAATGGATTAGCATCACAACTGCAAAGAGCACTAAACATATAAAAATGGATGCCACCATGTACTGTATAATCATAATCAGCTTTTTTTTTGTTGTAGGCAGTAATAAAAAAAAGTGCATTTAGAGAGAATTATATCCCATTAAATCAGTGGCAATTAATAACCATGCAGTCAGCATGTTATAATAATAAAAAATAACACAATTTACCATAATGATGAATCACAAAGTTAATAGGTTTGTGTTTACCATTGCTTTGTGTCACGTTTTATAGGGCAACATTAAAGATACACCGACAAAAAAGATATATGCTTAGCCGATCATATATATTTTGTTATATAGCCTGTAAGGCAGAGCAAGAATTCAGCAGAGGACATTAAATTTTCATATGTGACAGGTGCCACAAATAAATGTCAAATGCTTTTTGATGGAGCCAAATCTGTATGTGCTACTATGTCTGCAATGCTGCCATAACAACATTTTGTTGTGAAAGAGTTCTATTTTTAAAGTAATATTGTTTATGAATTCATTGTGAAAAAAAAGTAGTTTAAAAAACTAAAGCATGCATATTGTAGTCTGTAAAATGACATTATACTACAATTACAATGTTGTTCTCATTATTCATAAAACCTGCAGTAAGACCCTCTTTAACAAGGTCCCTGATGGTTTAAAGCAGGGCAAATTTCCATTACAGCAGGCTATTAAAACCTTTGCAGTTGTCTTGCAAACAAAAAGACAATTTTGCTAATGGATGGTGATCCTTTGATTTTCTTCTCATTCATGATAATGATCAAATTCAAACCCATTTATTGCTTGTAAAGTAACAGAAATCTAATAGTCTTTTCATTCATGATCATGATGCATCAAATAAAAATTCAAATTAGTTTTTTGTATTCAATGGAATGTTATAGCAGTTGTAATATTATTTTATTCTTGATAATGATCATATAAATCAAATAAATAGGTAGACATCTTTGCACTTTCATTGCAGTGTTTCAAAAAGTCTTCTATGACTTGAAAAGATATTGGCAAGAGATATGCAATTTGGTTTTATTTAAAGATATTAATTTATTTAGTTTACAATTCAAGTTGTACAAGTTGTCCAATACAGAAATGTATAAAGCTTAAAATTATATTAAAGGTCCTGCTGGGATGGATAAATAACAAGTAATAATATGGTTGAAATACTTAGCTGGAGAAAATGGTTCATACACTGGGTGATGAACTCATGTCTTGGGGCCTAGGCATTTGATCATAGGATGGCGGATTAGCATAACCATTGAACATTAGAGGTTATATGACCATACATCTAGGCCTTATTTCATGTGATCAATGCAGGATGAAGCATCATTCTTATAAAAAGATAAGTATTTTATCCCTTTATTGCTCTTTATTTATCCATCCCTAAAAGACTGTTGAGATAAGTTTATGGTAACATTTTATTGGAGGTCCACTTAATGTCACAATATTTTTAAAGTAAATTGTTAATGTAAGGAAAGCAACAGGAATCCAGCATTGCTCAATTGCAGTTGTAATGGCGTACGCTCTGCAACCACCATCCATATTTTGAATTCAATATATAATGATTGCAACCCATGAAAAAGCATACAGACAGCGAAGTCTCAAAAATTTGAACACGCATTGCAAATTTGTTCCATGTCAGTAACTCACTAAGTAAAAAAAACAGGATAATGACTCATGCACCATTTACAAGCAAGTCAACCTTGGCTGGCAGCTCTACTGTCATTTAAGTCCCCCTAAAAACTTCAATTATTTCTGCATATTTGTTGTCAAATAACTTTTCTTTTTATATTTTAGCTATCCACCCCTCACAATTGGAATTTTGGACATGTTTGGCTTTGAAGACTTTCAAAAAAATTCATTTGAACAAGTAAGTGTGTTTTTTAATACATTTATTTAATTAATTTCTATTTAGTAAAACATGAAGCCAAATACTAGTCTCAAAGCAGCGGTTCATCACATAGTCTTGCCAGCACTGACTGTGACAGTATAGTTTGTATAACTTGCTCCTTAGCATGAAGTTATACAAATGATTCTGCCACAGTAGAGGAGAGGAGGAGAGGCATATCACATCTGTACAGAACAGGGGGTTATGGCTACAGCACTGACTTTAGCTCCCACATAGAAATGCTCACAAACTGAGATTCAACCTGGGGTGGAGCTACAGCCATCACAGATTAAAAAAAATGGTCTTTTAACACACAACAAGGCCTTGGATCAAAGCATAACCAAGAGCTACATGCACTCAGATTTTTAGCAGGTAGTGATGATTATTCTTTAGAGACATACACCTATAATTTACCAAAATTGAAGATTTTGTACCAATGCAAAGTTTAAAAAAAAAAATCGTTCAGCAGGGAGAGGGTCTTTTAATGTGGCTTAACCAGTTCCCGACTGCGCTATAGCCGAAAGACGGCTACAGCACACTCGGCTAGTTCTGGGAGGGCATCCATGGATGTCCTCCCAGAACCACGCCCCCTGCACATCCCCTAGGGATCGCACTGCACACAATCTGTGATCACTGTGTTTTGGTTCACATAGCTACGGAACAGGCCAATCACAGCTGCTTTTACCATGTGACCAGCTGTGTCCAATCGCAGCTGCTCACCGGATAAATAGGAAATGCCGGTTATTAGCAGCCCTCTCCTTACACTGACAGCGCATGAAGAGAGGAGAGCCGGTAAGCAGCATTTTGCAGGGGGACATCTAAACAGATCATCAGGGCACTGGTCATCAGTGTCCTGGTGATCAGTGTAGCCCCATCAGTGCAGCCAATAGTGCCCATCTGTGATAGCAGTCAGTGCTGGCAATCAGTGCCCATCAGTTAATCAGTGCTATCAGTGCCACCCATCAGTGCTGCCCATCAGTGCCATCTAACAGTGCCCATCAGCACTGCCTAACAGTGGCCATCAGTGCCACCTATCAATGCCCATCAGTGCCACCTAACAGTGCCCATGGGTGCCGCCTATAAATGCCCATCAGTGCCAACTAACAGTGTCCATCAGTGCTGCTTATCAGTGCCTATCAGTGCCCATCAGCGCCACCTAACTGTTCCCATCAGTGCTGTCCATAAGTGCCTCCTAACAGCGCCCATCAGTTCCCGTCAGTGCCACCTAAAAGTGCCCATTGATGTTGCCCATCAGTGCCACCTAACAGTGCCCATCAGTGCTGCCCATCAGTGCCACCTAACAGTGCCCATCAGTGCTGCCTATCAGTGCCCACCAGTGCAACCTATTAGTGCCCATCAGTGACTCCTCATCAGTGCCCATCAGTGCATCCTATCAGTGCCCATTAGTGAAGGAGAAAAATTACTTATTTACAAAATTTTATAACAGAAACTAAGAAAAACTTTATTTTTTAAATTTTTGGTCTTTTTTAGTTTGTTTAGCAAAAAAATAAAAACCCCAGTGGTGATCAAATGCCACCAAACAAAATTTCTATTTGTCTCTAAAAAATGATAAAAATTTAGTTTGGGTACCGTGTTGCATGGCCGTGCAATTGTCATTCAAAGTATGAGAATGCTGAAAGCTGAAAATTGGTCTGGAAGGGGGTAAAAGTGCCCGGTACACAAGTGGTTAAAGATCGACATTAAAATTACACAAATTCTTTAAATATCATTCTTTTGGGATGCCTTGACCTTGCACAGGAAGTTGTGGATGCAGCAGGATGTATTCCTTAAAAAATGTATTTCTTTAACCTCCTCGGCGGTCTGATTATTTCCGATTTTTTGTGCTGAAAGCGGTACCATTTTTTGCATGGAAATATGTAGTTTTTTATTGTAGGCCTGTAATTTTTAGGTATAACTCACTGAAATCTGTCCAAACAAGAGTCTAGTAAATATCCCGGGTAGGATAAAATTTGAAACACAAAATCATAAATTATAATTTAATAAATAATCATAAAAAATAATAATATAATAATAAATGTAATTCAATAATATAATCAAACCAAAAACACTGAAATTTGAAATACAGAGGCAAATTTGCACATCGCTGAGTAAAGTCACAAAATCGTTTTCAGTGTCTGATGACGAATTTCCCCACGAATCATTATCACTCTATTCTGCAAGTGGTTCTGATTTACTATCGCTGTTCTCTAGCTGGTCTAAAACCGCTTTTGACGTAAAGGGACACTTTTTGGATGCCATGGACTTTTCTAAGTTTCCAGGCAGAAAGAACAGTCAAAATGCAGGCAGGGCACAGGACAAAGCACTCGGGACAAAATGTATGTGAAATGCATTGAAACAGCAATCTTTTATGTACCCCACACCAACCAACCCTGAATAAAGGTATCTTAAGCAGTATCACGCTATGAGGTCTCTTATTGGGCACTCTGTGTGAGTGCTATCATTCGCAGTGCCCATCTGGAGGACTCAGGACCCTGGTGGTGATACCTGGTAGCTGTTTCGGATGACCTTACTTCTGTGGAGCCAGGATGGTGATCTGGGTGCAATCTGATCTGGGATCTGATGATCGTTCTATGGCCTGGTGACGCAGGATTACATATTGCGTATATTAAACGCACATCTGGTGGGTGCGTTTTTCACCTATTTGTGTGGTTCACACTTATCATCACACCTTGGATCAGGACGTCCACTCACCTGGAATTAGGATCTCTCCATGATCCGCACTATTATATTGAACTTTTGTATTTATGGATCACCATCAGAGTGATATCACGCATGTGCATATATTATGTGTATATAAATTGTGCTCTATTATTTAGCGCTGCACCATTCTATTTGACATATACGATTGAAACAGCAATGTTTTACTATGTAATAGTCATTTTTAAAAAAAATGACATTTTTAAAAAAATTTCAAATTTGCCGCCGGTTCCGGCCACGTACGTCCCGACGTCACAGGGACCGGAACATGAAAGCCGGATGCCGGCATCGGCCAGAGGAGATGGCTGGGGACGCTGCAGGGGACACATTGTGGGAGCGAAGGACAAGGTAAGTGCTGGAGGCACTCCCTGAGCAACGCCGCATGGTAAGCCCGAGTGTAGCTCGGGGTTACCGCTCTTGGTACTGAAACTTTACCCCGAGCTACACTCAGGGAATACCGCTAAGGAGGTTAATCAGTGTGCGGGGGATCTGTCATTAGCGGTGATACCACTACTGCCACTAAATGACAGATCCCTAGCTGGCTTCTGTTTTTAAACAAACCAGGGGATCTGCAATTTAGCAACAGTAGCACTATCTTCCTAAAATTACAGATCTCCATCTGTCTTCTGTTTGTAAACAAACTGGGATATTGAGTGACATCATTGACCAAATATGATCATGATCATATTTGGTCAGTGATGTCACCTAGAATGCCCGTTTTGTTTACATACAGAATCTGTGGCATACAAATTTCATCAGGTATGTGTGTCATCGCATGGGTGGGTCAACTTCATTGGGCATTGCTCATCAGGATTGACATTGATTTCTGCCACTGGACAACATGATTACCCTTGAAATTACATCAGTGGACATTGTATATTTTTGTTGTTTTTTTATCTAAGAAATTACTTTTTAAGGGCGTTTTTTTTTTTTTTTTCTTTATGATTTACATTTTCTTTGTGATTAAGTACCCTGTACACATCCATAATGGGGGGTGGATATCTTGGGGGCCCCTAATTTAAAGGGGGCATACAGATTCCATTAAGGCCCACCACAGACCCCCCACAAACCTTATCCTCTCAACATGGGCTAAAAGTGCCTTGGGATAGAAGCTTTTACACCCCACCCTTGCAAGGTATCCTGCCAGTATTGAAGGAAGCCTGATATGATTCAGGAGGTGGGGCATACACTTGCTGACCCCCCTATTCCTGATCAGCCAGACTGCATGTTTGTTTTTTTTTTTTCAAAGAATCTTTAGGGGATACCTTATGTGGTTTTATATTTTTAATGGTACTGGCTCCATTTAATCTACACTGTGGGTTCCATCTAAAAATCATGAAAGATCCTTATTTAGGCATGCGGCCTGGCTAACTATAGGAAGGGGAGCAGTGCGTTTGCAAACCATTACTCCTGAACCAGACCAGGCCACATGCCTTGCAAGGGAGACACTGTTCTATTTCATCCTTTCTGTCTTTGCCTTATCTTATGTTCATTTTATGTTTGCATTAAAGCCTTCTCCTGGCTGTGTTTCCGACTGTCAGCATGCTTTATGCTGGCTGGCTAGCTGGAACATGTAGTCTTCTTTATGTGGTGTTTTTGCTTTTTTATTGTACATTTAGGTGATCTGCTCTGTTGTATGCATTGTCATGCTCACTGTTTATATATATGTCTATACTTGTTGTGACACATAGTATGTTTAAGGTGGGGGTTGTTGGTCTGTTGTTGGTCCCTTGTGAGCTTTTTATGGGGTATTACGTTTTATGCTTCTTGCCTTAAGAAAGACAGACTGTGACTGGACAACAGGTCAGTGCAATAAAGCTATTAGTAAACAAAAGAGCAAGTGAGTGCTTAAAAAAGCTGCTAAACACCAAAAGGTACCATATAAAACCTCCAAATGAAATAGTAAAAGCAGGGTGTAGCACTAAAATATCAATATAAATGACTAAAAGACAAATATTTGCACTTGTATCAAATAACAGAAGCACGCTAAAATAAAGTGACTAAGTGATATGAAAACGTGTCCGTTTCATAAATAATCATTACATATACGCATTATAAAAACGCATCATAGATGAGCATGAAAATCCAGTGACAAAGTGCTTGTATCTAGATAAAGTGAAATACAAAGTGATAACTGTGTCACTTAATGGTGACCATTAAAGTACAAAGTGCCAGACGTATTAACCAAACAACAGTCCACAATTAAGGTGCATGAAAGATCGTGATGATCTTCAAAATCCAGTGATCTGATCCGGTATTATGGTGAAGTGACCCATATGATAGGATTGCGCACTCACCAGATACGCAATCAGACTGCGCATTTAGAAATACCAATCTCAGAAAGCTGGAGGTCCTTTTATGGTCTGGTCTGGTCAGGTGCCACTCCCTCTCCTGTATCCACTGCCACACTTGGTACAGCCGCTGTGGCTGTTTAAAGCTCACAAGGAGCCCCAAAAAGAGGAGGCCAGATAGTGTATTATCCTTTAAACAGGAGGTGTTTATTCCAAATGTACAGCACAAAAAGGGGGGAAACAAAAACACTGACCCATCTGATGCGTTTTTATAATGCGTATATGTAACGATTATTTATGAAACTGACACTTTTCATATCACTTAGTCACTCTATTTTAGTGTGCTTCTGTTATTTGATATAAGTGCAAATATTTGTCTTTTAATCATTTATATCGATATTGTAGCGCTACACCCTGCTTTTACAATAAAGCTATTGCCTCCTGTAGTCCTTCCTGTTTACTTGTAGAAGCTCTTTGAGTGCTTACAACACCTGTTATATTACATACAGTATGTAGTTTCCACAAAAAGACAACTGGTCACAAAATGCTCCTTAACCACATGCCGCCCAGCCCCTGTATAAATACGGTGGCAGGGGGCGGCACGGCTGGGCAAAAGCACATTTTAAAACGTGTGTTTTGTAAACAGGTAGGGGGCACGCGCGAGGCGCGCCACCGCCCTACCTGTCCCACCGATCACAGTCGTGGATGTCAGTCGCCGGGTCACAGTCGGTCGTTACCGGCTATGTCCCGGCGATCGGCGGCAATCGCTGACAGAGAGCACAGCTGCAGTAGCTGTGCTTTCTGTCAGTTCCCTGACAGCTCCAGGACACGCTGATCGGGACAGAAGAGTTTCTCTCTCCCGATCAGCGGTGTTCCCTGCAGTACACCCCCCCCCGCCCCCTAGTAAAAACACTCCCCTCACACAGTTAACCCTTTCCCTGAAAAATAAACTTAACCCCTTCCTCCCCAGTGCCATTAGTACAGTGTCAGTGTTTTTTTTTTTTGCAATGATCACTGTATTGGTGTCACTGGGGATGTCAGTGACCCCAAGTCAGTACCCCCCAATGTCAGAATGTCCACTGCAGTCCCGCCATAAGTCACTGATCACCGCCATAAGTCACTGATCACCGCCATAAGTCACTGATCGCCGCCATAAGTCGCTGATCACCGCCATTATTAGTATTAAAAAAAAATAAAAATCCCAGTATCTTTGCAGCCATTTGTAAACGCTATAACTTTCACGTAAACCAATTAATTTACACATATTGTTTTTTTTTTTTAGCAAAGACATGTCGCAGAATGCATTTTGGCAGAAATTTATGACTAAATTTGATTTTTAAATTTTTTTTTACTGGACATATTTTATAGCAAAAAGTCCAAAATATTGTTTTTTTTTCCTCAAAATTGTCAGCCTTTTTTTTTATAGCGCAAAAAATAAAAACCGCACAGGCGATCAAATACCACCAAAAGAAAGCTCAATTTGTGGGAAAAAAAAAGGATGTAAATTTCATTTATGTACCGTATTGCATGACTGCGCAATTGTCCATTAAACTAGCGCAGCGCTGTATAGCAAAAAAAAGGCGTAAATTGCAGTATCTATACCATAGCTTGTAGACGCTATAACTTTCACACAAAGCAATCAATATACACTTATTGGGATTTTTTTTACCAAAAACAAGGAGCAGAATACATTTTGGCCTAAATTTATAACCAACTTTGAGTTTACTATATATTTTTTATAGCTGAAAGTAAAAAATATTGTTTTTCTTCAAAATTTTTGGCCTTTTTTTGTTTATAGCGTGAAAAATAAAAAATCGCACAGGTGATCAAATACCACCGAAAGAAAGCTCTATTTGTGTGAAAAAAAAGACGTAAATTTCGTTTGGGTGCAGCATTGCATGACCGCGCAATTATCCGTTGAATTAGTGCAGCGCTGAGTAGCAAAAAGAGGACTGGTCATTAAGGGGGGTAAATCCTCTGGAGGTCAAGTGGTTAACTTTGACATCCACATCTTTATTTCAAAGTAAATGATCACTGGGCCATAACATCAGGAGCATGTGTCATACCTAACAAAATCAGGACATCAGTAGACTGTATTGGGCCCAGATACTCTTTTTCAGTACCGAATGACACATAATTTTACACCCCAATATTCCAGGCAACTTTAACATAATGTAATATTAAAAACATTATTTAACACTATATAGCTCAAATAGTCTAAAACACATACACACGCACTGTTCATCTGTTTGTAAAACAAAAACAAATCTATTTTATGTAGTCATTTTATTGAGTTTTTTTTCATTTATATTAACAGCTGTGCATTAATCTTGCCAATGAAAAAATCCACCAGTATATGAATGAACTGCTTTTCCTGCAAGAACAAACTGAATGTGCACAAGAAGGAGTTTCCATGGAAACCATGTATTGTCCTGGAAACCATACAACAGTACTGGATTTTTTCTTCCAGGTATTTCTCTTTTCATTATATACAACTGTAAATATTATGCACACAGTCTCCAGCTACCCATATGAAATTGTGTGTTTTGTATTTTCATGCAATATGGTACTTTACTTTATTTCATAACATCAGATGATCTTAATTTTCCAATTGTGTAAATATCCTCAGCGTTCCTAAACTGACTATGCATTGTTGATTTGATTTCGGTATTCATGACATACATATATGATGCATCTGTAAGTAAATAACAATAAAAGATGTAAGAAAAATATACTAGCTAAAGGTTAAACACTAGGATCAATGCTTTGTAGTGGTAAGGTCTGTGATACTTCAAATTTTAGAATTAAACTGCTCTCCAGTATCTGTATCACCAGCTTGATATTAATGTTTTCCAAGTTATCACACTGCTTTCTATTTTGTACATGACATGTGTGACTCAACCTGTCCGGGTTCCAGAACACTTGTTGTGGCACCCTTGTGCCAACATATGAAAACAACATATTTGAGCAATATTTTAAAGTGTTTCTAAAGGATAACATTTTTATACCTAAAAAAAAACATGTTACCACAGGTCAGGTGCAATGCTTCGGTCAATCACAGCGCATGATGACGTCACAAGGGGGTGGGGCTACCCAACCCCTTGTGACATCATCACATTATTTAAGAACTGTCAAGCAGGTGCAGCTGTCAGACTGCGGGAACCAGCGTCGTGAGCGGTGGCGGTGGACATCGTGATTGACATTGGATCTACTTCGGGGGACATTTTTTTTATTTTTGTTTTTAATAAAGGACTTGTCAAAGACTGTCTTCTGTCATTTTTTACACTACACTTTTTTTAGGCAGTATAGGCAATTTAAAAAAAAGTTATTATACCAATATAAAGTTCCATATCGTGTAACTCTGTTTCCTATATACAATAATATATTTCCTATTGCTTGTTTCATTCATATGACCAGTTTTAAATATACACTCAGGTGCAACTTTAGTAAGCATGCACATCTAATACCTAAAAAAAGGAGTTCACATGGTTAGAAACTCTCTGCACACAGTGACATTTAAACAATGTTCAGTTGGTATTAAAGTGAATGTAAATTTCTAAAACAATGCAAAGCCTTTTGATTTGCCCCATAACAACAAAACATAGTCCTAAATGATATAAATTATACAATTTTACATTATGAAAATAAATATATATTAGGAAACAAAAACAGTTCACTGATAAGTCTTGGAAAATTGACATCTGTCTTCTCCCCCTTGACCTGTGAAGCCATTCTTAGCTTTACAGGAAACCATCCTTCATAAAACTTTGAATCCACTGACTGTCCCTGGTCCATTTTTTTCCTGAAGCTTGTATCACTAAAATACATGCATAATATGGCACAATGGAATTAGAATACTGTCAGTACCTACAATTTAGCACAGAAGCTGAAAAGTAATTTCTCAGGAACCCTGACTATATTAAATGGTGCATCTTTACACAGTTTCTTTGCTCTATTTTTCTTAATCATACTGGCAAGGAAAGATCCTTCTTTCATGTTGCCTAAATTAAATGCATCAAATATAACATATGTAAACAACATATTTGAGCAATATTTTAAATTGTTTCTAAAGAATAACATTTTTTTACCTAAAATAAAAAACATGTTACCACAGGTCAGGCGCAATACTTTGGGCCACCCCACCCCCTGTGACATCATCACACTATCTAAGAACTGTCAAGCCGGTGCAGCTCAGACTGCGGGAACCAGCATTGAGAGTGGAGCGTTTTTTTTTCTTTTTTTTCAAGTTGGCGGTGGCAGTGGACATCGTAATTGACGTTGGATCTACTTCAGGGGACATTTTTTTTTTTTTTGTTTTTAAAAAACGACTTGTCAAAGACTGTCTTCTGTCATTGTTTACACTACACTTTTTTTTTGTGAAAAAGTAGCAGTACCACATACCCCATACTCATTCACATGGGGGCAGGATCTGGGGGCTCCCTTGTTAAATTGGGCTGCCAGATTCTGATAAGCCCCCATCCACAGGCCCCCACAACCACCGGCCATGGTTGCAGCGAAGAGGCCCTTGTCCCCATCAACAGGGGGAGCCCCTCTGCCCCAAAGAACCCCCCATGTTGAGGGCATGTGGTGGAGGAGGGGGGCACTTTCCCTCCTTTCCTGACATGCCAGGCGGCATGCTCGGATAAGGGTCTGGTATGGATTTTGAGGGGACCCCCATTCCATTTTTTAAAATGTTGGTGTGGGGGTTCCCCTCACAATCCATACCAGACCCGAAGGGCTTTGCATGGATGAGGAGGACCCCACGCCATTTTAAAAAAATATTTTTGAATTTCCAGCAATTCTTTTTACATTCAGCTGTCAGCGGGGAACCCCACAGCTGAAACATTAAAGAATGTTTTCACTATTAAAATATTGCATGACTGAATAATATAACTCATGCAGTATTTTATTAGCTGTGAGGTATACATACACAATGCGGTAAGATACCGCTTAGTGCATTGTCCCTGGTCGAAGTTCACAGTTGAACTTTCGGTAGGTTCAAATGTTCGACCGTGAACTGAATGGGGGGGTGTTCGGCCCATCACTAGTTTCAACCGTCAATCATTCTTTTTGCCACTGTGACCTCATTTTCCAATTCCTATCTGAAAGGAATGGAAACTGATGCTGTAGCTGATCCTGTTCAAGGTTGGAGGTTACAAGCAACCCCTAATATTATAATATTTACCAGGTCACACTTCTGCACAGGAGAGTGCCAGCTGTTCTTTTCCTGATTGGTTCTTGCAGTTAATACAATGACTGCATAATCAAAATGAGATGCTTCCTCCAGGATTTTTGTTAGTAAAAGAGGTAAAACATTATTGTATAGTGACAGTAAATGGCTTTTCATGGGTTTTTACATGAAGTCTAATGGGGTAAATACACAAGACCTAAAAATGCACCTGTGTGTACAACTGCACTGTAAGTGGAAACTATTTTTGGATAAAGTGGAATAAAAAGAATTAAGGAATGAATATATTACTGTAAAATAGTTTTGAAATATTACTGTTCAGTATATGTAAAGGATGCTTTTAGATATTGCAGAATTCCTCTTTATTCATGTGTTTATATTGCTGTCTGTGTCTCTGCAAGGGAAATGTACGCTCTTTGATAGGCTTAATTACCAATGTCACCAAGAATGAAAGTTTAGGTAAACCAAAATTTTGAGTTGCAACCAGAATAGTAATGTATTGAAAATTTTCAAATGGGAACACTTGTTCTCACGAAAAATGTCTAAGCAGGGATTCCAGCCACATTGGATGTATACCCAGTAGCCATACTTCCTTTTGAGTGAGCAGGAAATGAAGGTACTGTATTTCTCCCTGAGACACATAGCAAAAATTACAGTGGGCTTAACCCTCTCCTACTCTATCCAAAATTTTAAAAACAAATTGCCTTTTACTCTATCCAATTTTTCTTTTTTTGTAAATTGCCATTCGATATACTTTAAACATTGCTGTGTAGGAACAGTGTTTAATGTGTGTATGCTATGTGCTTAGTATTTGACCCTGAATATTCACTGGAGCTGTGGGCTGACTTGTTACCAGGGGCGAACTGACCATTTGAGCACTCGGGCATTGCCCGAGGGCCCGGGGTCAGTAGGGAGCTCCATGAAATGCCCCTGGTATTGTTTCTAGGCTTTTTTGGGTGTGCTTTGAGTGTGGGCAAGGACAGAGGGGCCCATGTTCTCCTATTGCCCGGGGCCCCATGAGTTGTCAGTTCCCCCCTGCTTGTTACGGCAATAAATGGTGAAAAACACTATTGAAAATGAAACAGTGATAGACTTTATACATTGCTAAAAATGTTTAAATATAAAGGACATAAAAAAGTGTTATAGAATAAGCGAGGAAGGAACAACTGGAGAAACGTGCACAGACTGGGAGTTACATGTAACAGCTGGTGCTTGCTGTCCTTGGACTTTGCCTTTAATACTTTGATCAAGATGATATCATTAAAGTGAATCCCCCAGATCTATTTCTCATATTTCTATCACGCCTATTAAAAAAGGTATCTGCAGAAACCACTGTAAAACAGTCAGAATTATCTTTCAATTCTCTGTGCAGTTGCTGCATTGCTCCCACTTAAAAAAATGCTAGATGCCTGGAAGCTATGCTGACCTATGGTCTCAGTGGTTTAAAAGACAGGAAAAATTAAGAGACTACTTATCTGCATATTTGTCCTGGGTTAGTGACCTAAAGTATTATTAAAAGCCAGAGAGGTAAGCCAGGCAGTCAAGCAGCTGGAATTTGCAGAATGAGAACTCAACAGCCGACTCTTATGATAGGTTAGGTAGTTACTGCTAATAACATTACAAATGGATCCCTGCTGTGTAATTAATTTTATATCTCCTTACAGATTCATTCTACTTATACATTACAATGAAGCTAATTGTACGCTTAATTTCAGCACATTTCTCAGAAATTTCACCTAAGGAAAAATTTCCAATTATCCTTATCCCTCTAGGAATGAAAAATTTTGCTTGGGACATTTTCTGCTGAATGCATTAGGTTATATTGGAGATGAATTTTACTGACATTTTAACAACGGCAAAATCAGTCTTGCAGTTGTTTCACAGCATATCCCTATTGATAAGGTTAGAATGTGGTCAGTGCAATGCAGCAATCAGATATTATATACAAATTTAAAGCAAAAATGATTTGCGGTTTCTAAGTTGTGATGGACAGTAAATCCCAGCTTGATTTCCACTAAAGCTAAATATAGACAAATATTGTATCTGTGGCTTTTTTTGCAGAAATAGGTAGCTAGTCCTTCTAAAATAGTAGAGCTTTTCTTTTGATATCAATACAAGCACATGTGCCCTTGCTCCTTCAAAATGACTCTTTATCAATTTTCTTATGATATACAGTATATTACAGGCAATAGTTATACAAAATGGCAAGTAACAGTGTTTTTTTTTAATATGTAGTAGTGTATATAAAATTAAATCAATACTATCTAACTTCACAAATGTAAAATAACTTTACATATAATATGTAAACATTATACTTTGCTACATTATTAAAACCAAATAAAATGTGCTTGTTTTTCAGAAGCCATTAGGTTTTCTGTCTGTTCTAGATGAGGAAAGCCAGTCCATTCATTCCATGGAACAAAGCCTCTCCAAACGGCTGCAGTCACTCTTGGAGACATCAAATTCAAATACAGTGTACACATCAGTAAAAGATGGCAATGGCAATGTCACAACTAAGGATCAAGGTCCCGTCTTCACAATTATGCATTATGCAGGAAGGGTAAGCAGTATGAATTGTGTAAACAGGATCCTGCACTAAGGAAAGAACATTTCTTTGTAACATATACCTGTGTTATAGCTCATGCTACACTTTTACATGAATATTTAAACTTCATTCTCGATCATACTAATTTCAATTTCCTATTCCCTGGAAGATTTCTCAAAGGGTGTCATAGTGCTAAAATATTGATTTACTTTCTTAATATCATCATTCATTTAGATGCAGCATAAATGTATTCACTTCATTTTGATGGCACAGCCCTTGGCTTGGGGAAAAAGACCTAATTAACCACTAGGGTGACATTCACTGGATCCTTGTTAGTTCTGAAGCATGTGAACTTGATTAGCTTCTGCATTTTAAGCTGTTCAAAATTGTCATGGTTTTAAAGCATTGCAAGTGGCAGGAGAGTGTATGAACATACAGCATTTCCATTGCTATAATGATGCTACTGCCACAACATGTCTTCAAATCATTAGTGAAAAATGTGTCATGATATGCCAGATGAGCCAATCCAAAATGACTGCTGCACCAATTATTATTTATTATAATTTTCTTTTATAAACTGGGCCTTCCTTGAAGCTGATTTTCACTCATGTCCACATATACATGGAACTAGCACAAAATTTATGAGCAATGTATGAATGCATTGATTATTTCAGTCCGAGAGGAAACCATAAGAGTAAACAAACCTCAGTAGTGAAAATAACATTTATACAGTATATTATTTTTCTGAAATCCTGTTGAAATACAAAAAAAAGACAATATGCAACTCTTCTATTCTGTTTGCTATTTCATATTTTTAAAATTGCCTGAAAAGATTGGGACCTAATACAATATTTTGTTTTGCACATTTACACTTAAAGTAAATTTTTGTTGTTGTTTCTTTTGGTAGTGCTTTTTGTTTTCACCTATCTTTCATAATTTTTTTAGTTTATTTTTACCTTTTTTGAATAATGGGGCAATTATATAAATTATCCCTGTGCCATTAGCAGTGTTCATTTTGGCATTAGTCTTTTGACTAAAATGCCATTTTAGTTTAAGTTGCATTTTAGTCATCTGCAATTTTTTTAGGTTTAGTTGTGTTTTTAGTCAACTAAAATCTCCAGTACCTTTTAGTTGACTAAACTCATTTTAGTCATCTAAAATCAAATGGGTTTAGTTAAATTGTAATGCATTATTTAAGCATTTCTCTAGAATTTCAAAACTCATTATATACTCCTGGAGTAAAAAAAAAAACTAATATCATGTTATTATTTATGGTATTAAGATTTTAACAAACTACACAGGCGCAGATTTAGCTGTTATATACAGACACAGATTTAGCCGTTATGCAACAACGTCTTTACTCTTTAAAAGTAAAACGAGTTTTGTTGCAAGAATATTGCTTTTTTTGGCAGAAGTGTAACATTAAAATAAAATAAAAAATAAACTCTGTGCATGATGCCACTATGCACATTTACATGAACTTTAACAGTTCAAGTAACTGAACAGAACACAACAAAACATTTCAGCAGCTACAAGCACAGGCACTACCACTGGCACAGCATAATAAACCAATACTCAAGGGTAGTGCTTATTTCTAAAATAAGAATCAGTTTACTGACAATTTATTATATCAACAGTTCTAATTCTCAGATACATTCAAAGAAAAAGTGCACAGTCTGCCATGCCATTAGTGTGTGGATGGTAAAATCACCACTTTTTATTAACTCTCTCTCAGCATTGACAATAGGGGTAAATATCGCACTAAAAAGACTCCCCTAGGGGCAGGACCCCAACATAAGGCTGCCCTATGACAGTTACTGATCTATTTTTCTTTTTCACTAGTGTGATATTTACCTCTACTGCCAAATGTTTTAATGGTAAGAGAGAGACGTTGATAAATAAACGGTGGTTGTTATAGTTCCACATACTAGTGGCGTTGCAGCCTGCGCATTTTTCCTATGAATTTAACTGAGAATTAGAACTGTTCTGTTGTTGAATTGTTGATTCTTCCTATTGCAATATGCGCACCCAATAAGTATTAGGTATGCTTCTTAGGTTATAAATATAAATACCTGGAGAGTAAATCACTTCTATTTGTGTTGATTCATTTTAGTGTAAGCACACTTTGTGCCAACATGACCCTTACTCTATTCCGCTGGTCTCTAAAGAGGTCACCTGTAACACTGATTACCCTCTCTGCAAAGGCATGAGAAGCTGGCATAGCCAAAAGGTCTAATGCAAAAGGTTTTAGATAGTGATAAAAAGTGTTACTTTTTGACATACAAAAATATGTTCTGGTGTCCTGTGTGATGGTGAGATCTTGGTGCAAAAGCTCTTCCTTATATTTTCTGATCTTTATGCTGTTTGGAGTGATCCTCTGCCTGGGTCTTTTGCAGTATTTAGAAAGAAACCAAAGACTGGCTGCATTGATGTCGATGGTGCTACATCTACTTCCTGTGATTTTTCAATATTATCGTCTTCCGGATCACCTTCAGACAATTTCTCATCTTGTGTGTGGGGCATTGTGGATTTTCTTACAGCTTACTACTCTGCATTTTGAAGCAGTTTCTGAATATTATCAATCACCACATTGTAACGGAACCGGACCCCGACTGCACTAGGGTATTTCCATTAAACTCTCGCTTCCCTGTCCAAACACTGACCACGGACACCACCGCTGACCAAACAAGACGAAACAGCACCAGACTTGTCCTAAAACAGGAAGTGGGCTGCTTTATTTTAACACAGATACAAGATATATGCACAGGGCAGGGAAATACACCCAGTAACAGGAAACACATCAGCAGGCCGTCCCATCAGGGGGAAGGGCTGCCGGAAACAACCCCCACCAAGCCAGTACAAACACATATATCCCATAATAGTTTGCTCCCAAGCAAGACACACAATAGAACAATGGGATACACCAAGTGGCAGTAGACAACACACAAACCCATACATCCCATAATAGTTTGCTCCCATGCAAGACACACAATAGAACAATGGGTCCACGTGGCAGTAAACAATGAACAACCCCCACACCCCACCTATACATGTCTACACAATAACAGAAAATTTCACCCTGTATCCCTAACAGGCACAGGGTGACTTACACATAATAGGGATATGGGGAGCTGAGACAGGGGGCTCCCCACCCCTCCAAAGGGGGCTGTGTTCCATGCGCCCCCCACCCAAAGTCACTCTCGTCACACACATCAGCACATTCCCTTTTTTTCTGTGAAATTGTGGCAAGGTCTTGGTAACTAGTGTTCTGCTTAAAGTCCTCCAGGTGGCTGATTAGATGAAAGAGGTCAGGGACAGCCAAGGACATGATGATGTTGTCATTCTGGAGGGTTTTTAGTATGTTCCGCAAAAGGCAGCAGTAGGTCATGCAATGAAGTGAGCTTTTGCCATTCACTAAGGAGCAAGCTGTCCCATCCCATGTTATTTGTGATTTGGCAGACTGACTCTTTCAGTTTGAGGAGTCTTGCCAACATGTTGTCAATGTGATGTCATGTTGTCATGTGATCAATGTACTTGACCAGCGTGTGGGGCAGTCATTTAAAAGAGTAAGGCCACACTGCTCCAATATCTTCTGTGTTGCAATGGAATACTTGTGGAAGAGGATATTTATTTATTTTGCTTTATTTAGGATTCTCCTAACACTTGCCTTCTTCTGCAGCATGTGAACCACAAGTTGTAAGGTATGCACCATACACGGTGTCTGGTTCATGTCAATCTGTTGGTCCCTAACAAGAGGAACACAGCCAAATAAGCATAAAGTATAGAAAAGGTTACTGTTTCCATGCTATTTTAACACTCAACATCTTATGGGAATATTTTTACGCAAGATTACAAATAAAGTGGAAAATAACAAAGATGCACCAGTAAAGTAGAGCGGACAGAGCCCCAATATCAATCATCTCATATCCATGTGATAATTGACTGCCATCATGTAAAAGAATAATAAAAATGGCTCACCTCAGATCATCAATTTCAAACTTTCAGAGTCTAAAAGTCACTTTCCGTCATGGTGGAGTCTTTCTCACTAGAACTGGGTGGTTCTTCTACTGCTGCTATGGTTTGTTTAAATACTACCACCATATTATTCCTGTTGTCTGTTATCACTGTAAGGATCTTCCTCTTTGGTATGTCCCACTCTTTCAGGCATTTGTCCACACGTGATTTAATTGACTGTACAGTGTGTGAGTGGGCTACTTGTTCAAGGGTCAACAATATGTGTTTAGGTTTATTTTGTTCAACACAAAAGTAGCATGCACTTATAGCAAGGAGTAAAGCTGTGAGTCCTTTTTTTGTCCACAAATCAATGCAAATAGATACTCTCCGGGCAGCAGTCAGTCTCTTTTTGAATTTTTTTCATGTTCATGTTTTCTCAAGCAGATTGCTTATTTTAGTTTTCTTTGGAACAGTCAGCTTCGTATCTACTGTCTCTATCATACTAACCAAGTCCTCATCTTCAGTTGTTCTGACTGGTAATCCAGAGTGCTCAATCAATTTTGCTATGGCCTCCTCCCTGGCCTGTTTTTCCTTAGATACAATTTTGTATTTTAAAGCACTTAAAAGAGCAGTGCAGATAGTTTGCTGTGGTGCACTGGCTTGACTTGGCCCATCATTGGATGTTTTCTGTATCTGTGAGGTTGAATTAGGGGGAAAAATAAAGTTATTCTAATGTTTCTTTCTCTCTTACCCATTCACACAGTCAGCTCCAAGTTGTCTCTCTATAATATACTACATGTATATACAGCCTTAGGCCTTTAGGCACCCTGGGTGAAAATTATTGACAGTGCTGCTCCCTGACCACATCCCTCTATATATATTTTGGTGAGATACTTCCATTCTGGGAAAGCACATCTAAAGAGATGTATCATGCAGACCATGCAACTATCCTCATTATTTAGAGCCAGACAGCCATGCAGGTGCTGGTGCAGCAACTGAAAGATGATTATGAACTCACTAACATAAAGATTCAGTGATTGCACAACATGGACACAGACAAA